CCTAAATTAGTACAAATTTATATGTGAAATAACCCTTTAAAAAATCCGAAATTAATGATCATCATATATGACCCTAAGTTTTGATCAATTAGTTTATCGAACACCCTAACGACATGGGGTAATTTTATTATAGTTCTACTAAATTGTGATATTACAAATTATAGTCGATGAAAAATTAACAAGATAAAAGCTAATTAAAAGGTTACGGAATTTTTTCATTAAGATCAATTATGCTACTATTGTGCAAAGTTGGTGTATATGGTTTTACGACTATTCTAGAAGGTGAATAATATAATTTCTTTTTTTCATATTCAGTAACCAAATCTTCGCTTTCATAAATTTCTTTATATATACTTTTAATATTATCAAGAATTTGTTCGATTGTTGGCCTCTTTAAAGGATCTTCATCTATACATTTGTAAATAAGACTTTGGATTTTGTTTGGAATTTCAGGTACCATTTGTAGTTTTAAACCACAAACAATTTCTCTTGCTAATTGATAACTATCTGGTATATAATCGAAAGGCTGGTCCATAGCAAAAATTTCCCATATCAAGACTCCTAAACTATAAATATCGGTTGCTTTCGAATATTTTTTATACTTAAGTAATTCAGGTGCCATATATGGAACAGCTCCGTATAATTTTTCTGCGCATATACTGTTTAATGGACGACATGACCCTAGACCACTAAGTAAACATCTATTTGTATATAAAAGAATATTTCTACTATGCAAGTTGCAATGAATTAAATCTTGTTGATGAATATTTGATAAAGCTAAACATATACGCCAAATAGCAAATACTTTATCTTTTAAACTTAGTGTTGCTCTATTTTTTATTAAATAATCTCGTAAATTTCCATCTGGGAAATAATTCATAACTATGGCAAAATCATCATCAGGAGTTTTAATTTTAGTCATACCATATGCATTAACAATATCTCCAGATCTAATTTGAATAAATTTTTTTGCCTATAAAAAAAAATTACATTATAGTTTTATTCGTATGATATTATATGAAATAAAGCATTTAAATATATAAATACATATATATACCTCATTAAAAACCATCTCATACGGATTATCTGGACTGTTTAAAGATTTCAGCACAACTTTTTGAGGACCAGAATAAATAAATTCTTGCTTGCTTTCATTAAAATCTAATATTGCTCCTCGTTTCCATGTTGCGATATATACTGTAGAAATTCCACCCTTTACAAGGGGCATTATATCTTCTAATTGATCAGATGGGATCCATTCCATAATATGTAGAGGTAATCCTGAATTTGACTGACATTCGCAAATAAATTCATCAATAATTTCACTTCCAGATGTCCAAGTTCCAAAAAAACTTTTTAAATATTTTATAATACAATTTTCACAGTAACGTGTTGAATATCTTGTTAAATTGCAATTACTACATTTTATTGGTTCACCTCTTTTGAATAATTCTTTTTCTCTTTCTACGTTTCTTAAAACTCTTTCTTGACATGACTGCTTTTCTTCTTGGGTAAGTTCCGAATTCTCATACAATAATTTGTTAAAGATTTTTATAGATTCTTCATAGTTTGAAGAATACAGTTCAGAATAGAATATAAGCTCAAAGTAAGTTTTGCTTACAAAGTCTTTTCTAATTGTGTTCATTTTTTTTTTTTTTAGAAAAAAAACAAAATCATAATTTATTAATTGCTACGAGGCTTTTATAATAAAAATAGGTTACCACAATTTCCAATTAAGTTTCTGTTTAACCAGTCGGGCAAGAAGTTTCGTTAAGAAAAAAAAAAAACGGATATGTTTGTATGTGTGACTGCAAGTGTGTAACTTTCGGATATGAACTAATACTATATTGGCTAGAATATATTGAGTAGTGACACTTTAATATAACACTCCCGGCATGCACGTACTGTACGTACGTACATACATACATACGTACATACGTACATACCAGATACGTACGTACATAAACAGGGGTGAACGTCCCGAGTGCCCCGAGTTTGTAGATCGTTACACAATTAATTAAAGATTTTTTTTTATACG